AGTAGTTGGTTCTTCCACTGGGAGGTTTTCAACTCTGAGGCTCAAGGAGTCCTTCTCACTTTAACATAAGACCAGGTTCCTATTTGCCACTTTTGAGTTTCCAAGTAACCAAACAAACATCAATCATCTCATGTTACAGACGCAGGACCTGAGCACTTTCCTCAGAGCCGGAAAATGATTTACATAAGGCTTCTGAGTCAATGCTCAGAAAAGGGAGAGAAACACCAAAGCAAGGGCATAGTGTTGATGATAGGCTGGATGAAGACAAGGGGTGAAATAATGAGGTAAAATCTGTGTCTTTCAAAAATTACTATTATCCATGAGGTTTGTTGTTATTCCAGCCCACAGTGTAGCCTTCTCTTATTTAACCTGCCCCCAGCTAGGCCTTCCCATTAGCCTTGCTCCTAGAGAGATCAGATTTGTAACTCCTCAGTTTGGGGAGAGGCTGATACCATGGTCAAGGTGAAGTTAAGGGAAGGTGAAGTAACAAAGTATGGCCACACAAAATCATTCTCTTTTTCTTGCCTTTTTTCAAATGACTCCAGCTTCCTCAGAGAAAGTATATAGAGTCCCTCTCCCTTCCATTGAAAGCCTCCTAAAGACAGGGACTATATCTACATTCCATCAGTTCTCTGCTAACCATCCCACTTGGGAGTGCTGGTTGCCCTTAATCCTTCCAAGGACCCAAGCCATGGCTCCACCTTTAGAAGAGTATGTGCTGTTCATCCAAATGCCTCTAAAATAAGACCATGAACCTTCAGAAAACCAATACTCTATCTCAGGTCCTCCTTGGCCCTCCCTCCCCCTTTTTCTCCTGACTTGTGTTGTCTTCCCATACCATCTCCTCTAAACCAGTGTTGTTAGGTGGAAAGCAAGAGATCTGAAAAGCAACAATGAAAATACTCTGGACAGGCAGAAAGAAGAATGCTGTTAAAATGTTTCAAGAAGTGTCCATACAGTCTACATAAGCAGGAATGTTACTGACCACAACCTACCAAAACGCTAGTGTTGGAGTAAGGCTATCCAGGGCCAGCGAAGAACACAATCTAAAAATAGATTCTCCTTCATCATCCTGGGTGGTGTACTCTCCAAGGCTCCAAAGACGATAAAGGAAGCAGATATGGGCTAACTGGTTACATAAGCTTAAACAACACCCAGAGGCCAGGCAGGGTTAGGTACAGAGAGAATTATGCAGAGTCATTCTAGAGTCCTCAGTAGGCTCCCAATCCAAGTTAACTGGCGGTACTCACCAGTATCACAACATCACAGCTAGTCGGTGGTGTTTTATAACTTTGGGAAAGTTACACTCTTTGAACCGTGTATTTCACCATCTGTAAAATACCAACCTCGCTGGATTGCTAGCCTACTACATATATCCTTCACCTTTTCTAGATCAAAAGCCTCAAACCCAGCCTGAGAGATTCCTGAGAGATCGGTGTCTCCTCAGCTTCTCACATCCTTGCTCAAGATTGAGTGGTTTTCTTCCGTTCTCTCTCAGTCTGCCCGTATACATGGAAACCCATTTTCCACTCCCATTTCCGGGAGAAGTCGGAGACTCTCCTCTCTCGGCCTGGGCTCCCGGGGCCCTTAAGCGCCCTGCACGCCCCTCCCGCCGTCCTAGCCTCGGAAGGACAAGCAGGAGGCGAGATCCGATCACCTACCTTCTCCTGGGCCCTGCTGAACTTCTTCTGCACCTGCTTGGCGAAGAGGCCGGCAGCACCGCCGGCCTTGCTCTCGGCCATCCTGCCGGCTCCCTGGGGACGGCCTGCCCTGGCCCTGCTCCCTGTGGTTTTCTAGAGGCCCCTGAAGAGGAAGTGCGGGCTCCCAGCATGCCTCGCATCCGGCGGGCGGGCCTCGTACTTCCCGCCTCGCTGCACCTGTGCAGCTGCGTGGGCCCCGCCCCGAGATCCCCAAGACCACCCCGGGGATCACTCCGAGGCATAGTGCACCGAGCCGTGTCTACACTGCGGCCACCCTGAGACCTTCCGCAAAATCCACTTCGAGGCCCACTCCAAGTTCAGCGCAGCGGAGCGCCCTGAGGCCCTCTCCCATGGCCCGCCGCTGAGACCGCCCCGTGGCCCGTCCACGCTTCAACGAGAAGGGCCTGGAGCACCTCGACGCCCAAAGCATTGAGCCCGACGGGGGATATCCCGAGCTCTGGCTAGGGGGCTGGGCCTGTTCAGAGGAGGCTAGATTAGAGAAGCAGAGATTTGGGCATGCCCTTGGGAGGTTCTCACTCAAGTCCAACTTCTGTGGCTCTGGCCCTGAGGTGCAGGAACACCAGCCCTATTGAACAGGGTTCACGAGTGTGGGCCAAGAGTCATTCTTTAGGGAAAGCAAATTAGCTATGGTAATCAGCACTGGAAAATAACTGAAATAATAGTATAGAAAAGACTGTGATTTCCTCTAACTAAGGGTATTTATTGTATCGGGAAACGTGTTTCAGTCGTATGGGTATGCATGCTGGGTCGCCAAGTAAAATGTATTTCTTACCTCAGGTTGCAGTTTTGAAAAATGTTAAGCCACTGCCAACAAGGTTGGCTCTAGGCCTGGGACTCATACGGGTTGAGTGTGGAAAGGGGATGGGACTCCAGTTCTGGATTTGAAAGGAGAGGAACAACTGAGCTGGAGAGAAAAATGTGGGTCCCAAGAAAAGGAGAAGATCCCAACAAAGATAGCTTGGGATGGGGAGCAAGTTTTTCTAGCTGGGTGGAGTGCAGCATACCAGATGGAGGCAGGATGTGAAGATAGACGCAAATTATGTACATTGAGAGGGCGGTGCTGAAGTTACAACTATTGCTTCCCTAGGGAGAAGGTCTCCAAATGCAGGTTACTCCCTGGCCTGCCTGAGGGAATAGCTGGAATTTAGGACGCTAGGTTTGGAGGAACCACTAAGGAATTTTTAGTGAAGGTAAAATTTCCTCCAGGGAAGAAACAGAGTCAGTACAGTTCCTAAGAAGTGGAGAGAAAATCTAAAGGCCTGAGACAAAATTGGAGGCTCTTTTCTGCTATTGTTTTCCAACTTATTCTTCCAAACAAACATACTGCACTCAGGGCCAACTGTGTGCCAGGCATTGCTGGGTATTGGGAATCCAGAAATGAATAAAATGCAATCCCTGACCTGTAGATGTTAAAAAGTCTGGAGATGGAGACAGACTATAATCAGGTGATTATACTGTGATGTGCCAAATTTGTTGTTGTTAGCTGTCATCGAGTTGGCCCCGACTCGTGGCAACCCCATGCACAACAGAACAAAATGCTGCCTGGTTCTGTGCCATCCCCATTATAGGCTGCCGATTGGACCATTGTGATCCACAGAGGTTTCATTATTTGATTTTTGGAAGTAGATTGCCAGGCCTTTCTTCCTAGTCTGTCTTAGTCTGGAAGCTCCTCTGAAACCTGTTCAGCATCTAAACCAAAACCAAACCAAACCCGTTGCCGTTGAGTCAATTCTGATTCATAGTGACCCTATAGCACGCAAATTTCTGCTGACACATGAGTGATGGCTGCACTTGAGGTGCAGTGGCCGGGAATTGAACCCGGGTGTACTGCGTGGTTGGCAAGAATTCTACCACTGAACTCCCACTGCCCTCATTAAATTCATTTATAGAGATGGACAAAATTTTTAGGCAATAGGTGATTATTCTGGGTGTTGGCTGTGAGGATGGCTAGGAAGGAGCAGAGTGAAGAAAACGTAAGGACTTGATGTTGGATGGGGAGGAGTGGGGAGTAGCACAGAGGGTAGTGGTACTGTGGGACCACTGAGAGAATATAGTGATGACAGGCGTGTCACTAGCAGGAGGCTGTATCATTCCCAGGACTCCATAGCACTGTCAGCAACACAGCCTAACAATTGCCTCCCATGAAACCCTCCTCCGTGTCAGTCTCTTGGGAACAAATGAAATTGATGGTCACCAAATCATGGAATATTAGAGCTGGAACAGCCCTTTGAAGTTAACTAGATGGGGAAACCGAGTCACAGAAAAGGCAGGTGACTTGCCCAAGGTTACCTCCTCTGTGGTGGAACTGGAAGGAGAACACAGGCCTCCTGACTCTAGTTGAGCTTCTTATAGCCACTGCTTCCTTCTAGAGGCCTCTGCTGACATAACAGCCTACCAATTCCAGGACTGGTCTCAGCCAGGTTCTCCTGCTATAATGTAACTACCCTAGTCCCTCTTGTCTGGTCTTCAGAGGCTACTAGGAAAAGCTGCTATTCATCTTCTTAACCTTCTCCTTTCAGTTCCCCCTTTGCTCTCTCCCTGACTGCTCTACCAGACGGAACCCTAGCCAGGATGAAGCAGAATTATCAGCTTCCCAGTTCTCAGCAGTTTATAGAGCCCTGGATCCGGTTGTCTATTTTAGTCCCAGCCTTGAAGTGCTGACTCACATTTAGCTTGAGGCCCCCATATTGTTGTCTCTTCTCCCTTTCTGTTTTGCCTTTTCCCCTCAACCCTTTCCTTTCTTTACTCAGTATCTTCTTTACTCCTTTTTTTCTATTCTTTCCTCCCTAATCTTTCTAATTCATCACTTTCTTTGTCTGCTGGCATCTGACCTACTGCCTAGTCCTATATTCCTCCCTCTAGTGTATCCCAGTAGTTGGTACCACCCGGAAGTTGGAGTGAGCACTTGTTCTAGGCACTGAAGAGGAAACCAAAGGACAAGCCCACAGTCTGTTTGGGAGAGTCGGAGCAAATTTAGTTGGTCAGGAACATTTTAAAGCACTCTGTGCTTTTGAATAAATCAAATGTGGGGATGGGAGGAGAACAGATTAATGGATATATGGTAAATTCTAAAATAATCCAGAATGGATAATGTAAAACCACTCAGCTTAGTTTGTGGACTGGTAGGGGTGGTAGCAATATAAGGGAGGGAACTGGCCCAGAAATGTGGTGAAGTCCAGCCTGGGACCCTATAACTGCATTTCCTCTAGAGGGCTTAATTCCAAATAGAAAGACACAGGATGAGAATGTATAATCAGTTTTATTTTCTTTTCTGTATCTGTCTCAAATGTTTCCCTTGATAGCATCAGGTTTTGCTGAGGACCTAAGAACCACTTTGGGAAGGCTGCTGGACTCAGGAAAGCGTTCAACTGTTTGCAGTGACCTGAAGGAAAAACCGGTTATGTCTAAGTAACTTCTGCCCACCACCTTCCTTCTCTCTTTTCTTCAGGGATCTCAGTTAAGTATGACCCTGTACTAGGCATATTGAGAGGGTAGGGGGCAGGAAGCAGGCTTCAGCTGACAGGATGCCTCAGTGTACAGGCATATACCCAAGACATAGTGGCAAGGACAAACTTTAAAATGGATATGAGCCAAGACTCATGCCACAAGGCTCCAGAAAGTGTTTGAAGGCTGGAAGGCACAGGTGGGATGGGTTGTGAGGCTTTACCACTAGGTAAGTGTAGGCAGAGTCTCACCTAACCCTCAAGCATTATTTAAGGTGGTATAACCACTCTCCAAAGGGTAGAGCAAATTCTCATAATGCCCGTAGAAAGAGATTTTGAGAGAGGACATTGGAGCTTCCTTCCCTTGTCCAGAAGAGTGTCGGCCTTTTGGAAGCTATTTCTCCCTTGGCTTTGACTTAGGACAACACTGATATGTGTCTGGTTCAAGCTTGCTGCTGCCACCATCTTACCCTAAGCAATAAATAGCATGGTGAAGCCTGCTCAGTGGGTACGTGAAGGGAGACTGAAGATGACAGCATTATTGGGGAAAGTGCACTCTGGAGAGAAGGGAGGGGGGAACCACATGAATGTGGTGAGGAAGATGATGGCTTCCCCAGCCCAACCTTTGTTCCCCACCCTAGGCAGTGTGTGAATCTCTTGGTGACCCTGTTTCAATTCTTCATTTGAGAGGACTCACGTTATTTATCCAAGAGATGTAAGCAGAGACCTGGGTGAAGACTGTGGGCTTCCTGGAGACATTACAGCCCTGACTGGACACAAAGCTGGTCACTCCATGGACAGCATACTGGCCATTCACCAAGCAGTGCAGAGGGCCCCCAGAATCACCCTGCAGGGAGGAGAAGCAGAGTCTGAAAAACTCCAGATCTTCTGATCTTTGGACCTTTGCTTTTGTTCTCTCTCGTGCCCCACCCACTCCATCTCTGCTTGTGAAATCCTATACAGTTTTAAAGTTCCAGTTCAAATCCCCACCTTCTTCATATTCTCACAATCAGGATGAATCTCTTCTTCCTTTCTAAACAACCACAGTACTTTCTTCCTCTTTTGCAGCACTTATGTTATGGCCTGCCTTGTATTATGGTTTCATAATTTGTTTCTACCTCGCGCGCACACTTATCTATGAGCTTCCTGAGACAGGATCTAGGTCTTATTGATATTTTTCCTTTCCAAATTGCTAACACAGAACTTTGAACATCCTAAGCTCAACTGCTTTTATTGACTTAAATTGAACCTGGGGTGGGGGAGGCGGGGTGTTCTAATAATTTCTTTATCCGCAGCATCTAGACCAGTGCATGTCAGAGCGTAGGTAGTCAAAACATGTTAAACTAAACTGGGGTGAAAAGGAGACAGAGTGATGTATTGGGTGATAGTTATGTGCTCAGGCTTAGAATTAGAGAAACCTGCGTTTATAGAATATGACTTTGGCCCTCTGCTTCTGCACAGCTCCCAGAATGCCAGCAGTAGGCCTATAATTATGAATATAAAATTGGAAGGTATTCCTATGGAGAATCTGACTAGCTCAAGAGGAAAGACCCGAAGATACTGACATCAGAGGTCCCCTAAGGAAATTACCTAGCCCAATCACCTGACAGAGAAGTCCCACTACGGATGAACCCCATCTAAGACTCTGAGCAACCAAACAGTTTTTTACCTTGCCACTCTGAAATAAGAGTAGCTGGTCAAAGATCACCGAACATTGGAAGAAAGCCTTCAATATAAAATAAAGATCAAAAGAAAGAGACAAAGAAAAAATGAAGACTAGGCAGGTAGAAGAATACTAGCAATAAGACTACAATTAATATTGCATCCATGATACAAGAACAGCATGCTATTGAACAGAACACTCAGAGAACAAAAAAAAGTTTGGAAATTTTAAATATGATAACAGAAATGAAACATTGGGAGGGTTGAAAGACAAAGTAGAACAAGCAAACAAAATATAGGGAAAATAAGAGGAGATAAACAGGAATAATAGAAAACGGAAAATGAAAGGGAGGAAATCATCAACCAAAAATTAAATAACATTTTCAGAACCAAAGACCTGGAGTTTACAGATTGAAAAAGCCACAAAGTGTCCCTCACAGTGAATGCAAATAGACTCATACCGAGACAGGAAACACTACGGTCAAGAAAAGATAAAACAGGTCACTTTGTAAACCCTGGTGGCGTAGTGGTTAAGAGCTACATTTTGGTCAGCAGTTCGAATCCACCAGGCACTCCCTGGAAACCCTATAGGGCAGTTCTACTCTGTCCTATAGGGTCACTATAAGTCGGAATCGACTCGATGGCTACAGGTTTTGGATAATTAGGATGAGGATGGGAAAGTGTGTGTGTGTGTGTGTAAAAAGGAGAGAGATCCATATTTCCTATAATGGCCTGAAATGAAAAATCAAGTAGCAGTATAAGAATATATTTTTTAGAGAGATATGGAGGTAAACACCAAAAGAATCAGCTGAAAGCGTAGGAAGCAGTTGCCTCTGGGGAGGGGTAATTAGTGGGGTGGAGGAAACAAAAAGACTGTTCTTTTCCATTATTAAACCTCAGAGTTTAATTTACCAATTTAAGTAATTTAATATGTATAGATTTGATAAAAATAAAAAAGAACTAGGGGAAAGGACTAAAAATTCAAATTGGTGATAGTTCTTTTAAAAAGGAACTAGCAGTACCCTACCCAACTACTTCTCAGGAAAAGACGTTTTCTTCAGATTATGGTATACTCAAAACAAAACAAACTAAATCTTTTCCACTCAAATTCTAATTGGGATTCAGAGTATATCTGGACTAGAGGATAACCTACAGACTGGGAAAAAATTTTTGGCCATGACAAATCCGATCAGCGTTTAATCTCTAAAATCTACAAGATACTGCAAAACCTCAACAACAAAAAGACAAATAACCCAATTAAAAAATGGGCAAAGGATATGAACAAGCATTTCACCAAAGAAGATATTCAGGTGGCTACCAGATACATGAGGAAATGCTCATGATCATTAGCCATTAGAGAAGTGCAAATTAAAACCACAATGAGATACCATCTCACCCCAACAAGGCTAGCATTCATCCAAAAAACACAAAATAATAAATGTTAGAGAGGATGTGGAGAGACTGGAACACTCATACACTGCTGGTGGGAGTGTAAAATCGTCCAACCACTTTGGAAATCGATTTGGCACTTCCTTAAAAAGCTAGAAATAGAAGTACCATATGATACAGCAATCCCATTCCTTGGAATATATCCTACAGAAATAAGAGCCGTCACACAAATTGATATATGCACACCTGTGTTCATTGCAGCACTGTTCACAATAGCAAAAAGATAGAAACAACCTAGGTGCCCATCAACAGACGAATGGTATGTTCACACAATGAAATACTATGCAACGATAAAGAACAGCGATGCATCTGCGAAACATAACATGGATGAATCTGGAAGGCAGTTTAAACACAGAAGAAAACATTCTTTGATGGTTATGAGGGTGGGGATGGAGGGAGAGGGTTATTCACTAACTACATAGTAGATAAGAATTATCTTAGGTGAAAGGAAGGACAACACGCACTACAGGGGAAGTCAGCACAACTGGACTAAACCAAAAACTAAGAAGTTTCCTGAATACAACCAAATACTTCGAGGGATAGAGTAGCAAGGGTGGGGGTCTGGGGACCATGGTTTCAGGAGACATCTAGGTCAATTGGCATAAAGTTTATTAAGAAAATGTTCTGCATCTCACTTTGGTGAGTGGCCTCTGGGGTCTTAAAAGCTATCAAGCGGCCATCTGAGATACATCAGTTGGTCCCAACCCACTTGGAGCAAAGGAGAATAAAGAACACCAAAAACCCAAGGAAAATATTAGTCTAAGAGACAGAAATCAGAGACTCCATCAGCCTGAGACCAGAAGAACTAGATGGTGCCTGGCTACCACCAATGACCGCCCTGACAGGGAATACAACAGAGAGTCCCTGATGGACCAGGAGAAAAACAGGGTGCAGAACTCAAATTCTAGTAAAAAGACCAGACTTAATGGTCTGACTGAGACTGGAGGCACCCCAGAAGACATGGCCCCCAGACTGTGCGTTAGCTCAGAACTGATACCATTCCCAAAGTCAACTCTTCAGACAAAGATTAGACTGGACTATGGGATGTAAAATGATACTCAGGAAGAGTGTGCTTCTTAGTTCAAGTAGATACACGAGACTAAATGGGCATCTCCTGTCTGGAGGCAAGATGAGAAGGCAAAAAGGGACAGGAGCTGGTTGAATGGATGCGGAAGATCCAGGGTGGAAAGGAGGAGTGTGCTGTCACATTGTGGGGAGAGCAGCTAGGGTCACATAGCAATATGTGTATAAGTCTTTGTGTAAGAAACTGACTTGAACTATAAACTTTCCCTTAAAGCACAATAAAAATAAAAGATTACTTAAAAAAATATGAAAACAAACAAAAAATGTAAAAACCATTCTTATGTTGTAGGCCATACAAAGACAAATAGCTAGCTAGATTTGACCTATGGGCCTCTGACCTCTGCTCTAGCTATAAAAACCAAACCAAACCAAACCCATTGCTGTTGAGTCAATTATGACTCATAGAGACCCTATAGGAATGCTATATTATTCTCTACATCTTCTGGGTTGTTTCTTGGCCCCATGCCTTTGTTCATGCTGTTCTTGCTCTCTGTCTTTTTCCCTTTTCCTGGCTTATTCCTATTTAACTTTCACGACTCACTACAGACATCCATTTCTCCACCAAGGCAAGTCTTTTCAGATCCCAACAGGTAGAGGTAAGTACCTGTCCTTTGGGTTCCCATATCTCCCTATGCATATCTTTATTATTATAACACTTAACCGCATTGTATTACAACATTCTGTTATGTGCCTGCCCCTCGCATTCCCCCACTAGTCACCGTCTTTGATTCATCTTTACATCCCTAGCGCTTAGCACAGTGCCTGGCAAACAGAAGGTGCTCAGTGGATATTTGTTGATCTGCATTAAGTAATCTGTAAGATGGTGTACTGCAGACTGAACTTGTCTAAACAGAGGAGGATTCTCTCTATTATATATAAACTATTATAAAACAATAATGGGCACCTTCTTTACCATACTCACCTGTATATACTGTCATAAATGCTACTGGGGCAAAGGGGTGGTGGTGGTGGAGCTACAAGAAAAGTTGTGGATTGACAGGAAGGGGGACTACCTCATTCACAATTATAACCACCCCACCAGGTCCCAGCCCTGTCACTGCCATACACCAATACACACATGTTGGGCAACATTCAAGCTTTTGAAGTGGGGGCAATTGAGCAAGATTAATTTTAACTATGTCCTTTCAGCTGTGAGATTCTGTGATTATAGTTAGAAGCACAGAATCAGTCACATGCCAGAGTAGAAAGCTGAATCTGTGCATGGGGGTGTGAGTGGGTGGGGACTAGGAAGGTGAGGAAAGGATAGGGGGTGGGAGACAGAAAGGAGGCTGGAGCGGAATTTCTGACACCTCCTATGTATGTTTACCTGGCATCCAGAGCGAACTCCATCTCCACCAGCACACACCATGGTGTTCTTCACGGTGGAGCCCCAGTAGGAAGAGCTGGAGCAGGTGGCGTAGTCCACGGTGGGCCGGTAAGCCTCTTGCAGGGTCTGGGCCAGCTGCCCGTTGGCTACAAAGGGCACACAGCATGGGAGGGTCAGCCCCAGATGCTGTCCAGGGGGAAAACCCTCCACATTCCGCCAAACCTTCTCAATCTCTGGTGAAAGCGGAACTTGGGGCAATTGCCTTCTCTCTGCCCACGGCATTGTCATGGATCCTCTTCCTCCCTTCTCTCTTTATATGGCAGCTATGGGTCCCTTCCTCCAGGGAGTCATCCTTGATCATTCTCTCCAAGTTCCAAACCACCAATCCTACTCCTGCCCTTTTTTCACTCTTGGATAACTTAGCTAGGGATTCAGAGGGTCTTATTGGTTGACAGCTTATCTATCCTGCTTCATCCTTACACTGTAGGCCCCTGAGGCAGAACTAGAACTGTACACTCTTGTTTCCATTTCTTAGCAGCTTTCCCTTATCTAGCTCTTTTAACTTTTCAAAGCCTTTGCACATATATTATTTCTTTTGATCCTTACAACAACCCTTTTATATTATAGATCAGGAAATTGAAGCACAATGACATTAAATGAACTGAGAGCATAGCTGGATTAGAAGCATGTCTCTCTCAGTTCCAGGTTTTCCCAGTAGACAGGCTGCTCAAAGCAGGGCCCCTGCCAACCCCCCCACCCCCCCGCCGCCTCCTTTAGAAACTCAAATACTGCCTGGTGGCTGATGGACTTCTGTGTCAGGCTTAATGTCTGTCTTTCTAAACTTTCCCTGCTCATAGCCCTCCCACTTTTCCATGCCATCTGAATGACATTCCCTACCAGAAATCTTCCCATGATGACCAGAAGAGGGTTGAGGCCACCTCTGCCTCTCGCTTATCTGGATCTACAGCTACCCCTGTTCTTCCCTCCAATTCATAGCCCAGTGCAAGTCTATGGAGGTAGCATGGTGGTGTAATGACCACCAAGTGGGCATCAGGATGTCTAGGTTCTGGCCTCAGCTTTGCACTAACCAGCCATGAGATCTTGTACAAGGTCCTTAATTTTTCCTCATGTATCAAGAGGCTGGTACAGAATGAGGAGCCCTGGTGGCTCAGTTATTAAGCACTGAGCTGCTAACCAAAAGGTCAGTAGTTTGAACCTACCAGCTGCTCTGCAGAGGAAAGATGTGGCTGACTGCTTCTGTAAATATTACAACCTTGGAAAACCTATGGGGCAGTTTTCCTCTGTCCTGTAAGGTTGCTATGAGTTAGAATTGACTTGACAGCAACAGGTTTGGTTTGGTACAGAATACTTTCTGAAGTAAGACTTTTTTAGTTTTAATAATCTATGAATCTTTGACTTGACAATTCAATATTCCATTCTTAACTCCATTTAATTTACAAGTTATTTTCTCTGTGGTTCCTTTGGCTCTTGGCCTCTATGAACACACCTAGGATCACAGAAAAATGTGCCCCACAAGTTGAGTACCGAAGATGGTACCAATGTAGGTGACTTACTCTTGGTTCTGCCCCAGCCTGTAATATAGCAAGGAGTGTTGTTAGCCAGGATGGTTCCTTGCTGGGGCAGAACACCAAGCTGGACATAGCTGTTGAGAGAAACGTTTTGGGCCAGCTGCATCAGGGCGATGTCATAGCTGCAGGAGAAAAGGAGACTGGGGTCAGATCTTCCCTGTGGTCAAGACTCTGCCCTCTCTAAGCCTCTATGTCCCCATGGAATTGGGAACCAAGACTTCGAAGAATGAGGGTGGTAACTTTCTAAGCCTCAGACTTGAGGAATTAAGTCATTTGGGTTGTAGGACACTATGTGTTTAATAGCAACACCTGCTGGTGGGACCTTGGTATTGCAGCTTAACTGTCATTGCTGGCAACCCAGGGGAGTGGAGTTTAAATCTTCCAGCTGTGAATGGGGAGTTAGGAAGGAACAGAGTGGAGTGATTTGGTGGCAGAGAAGAGTTCTCAAAGAAGACAGATGTATGCAGGCTCTGAAAGCTCTGCAGAAATATCACAATTACTTAAACCCATCCCCACCACCCATTCCCCAGCCCCACACTCAACAGAATTGACCATCATTTTAATTACTTCCTCTCCAAAAGTTTACAGCTCAGTCTTGCAAGAGGTTTCCCATGCTAAGATCCACTTTAAGAAATTTACGTTTTCTGATGGAGTCTATTTCATAAAGTGAATAATAAACAACAATAGAAAACAAATAATAAAAACAGAAATGTTAACTCTAAGAGAAGAAACTTTAGGTGAGCCAATCATGCAACCCCGCCTAGATCAAGCAAATCCCAGACACCTCAAAAAATTCTCAAGCTCTCTAAAATCTAAATTCTCAAAACTTTCCTGGATGAATGTGCCAGCTCATTGCCCGCCTCTAAGACATGCACTCTCTCCCAGGTTCAACTGGGCCCCTCTGCCAAAGGCCAAACCAAGAGCCACAGACTTGGTCTCAGGCAATGCAATCCCTCTAGTCCTCTCGGAAAACATGTGAAGGAAGCCACAACCCCCATGGCTGATCAGTCAGTCCGCCACCTCCCAGCCCAGGGCCAGCACAGCCTTGCTCCTACCCAGCAGCCGCATTATTTTTGTTCTACTTTGAATGCACCACGATCCTCTGCACACTCATGTACTGCTCAGTGCCATCGTTCTGGCTTAGGTTGTGTTCTCCGACCACCACACGGAAGGTCAGTTGGCTGGAGTGAGAAAAGGAAGCCCTGAGTGATTAAGGGGCCTCAACCCTCCCTTTCCCCCCTTAGAGAAAAGTTGGAAAGCCATCTTACATCTTATCTTTAGGGCAGGAACGCATCTATACGGCCCAGGCAGAGGAGGGGGTGTAAGACCTTCAGAGATGAGAAAGTAACAGTCTCTCTTATTCCCTAACAGGGCTTTGAACTGGTTTGTTCTGGTTCGGTTAGGGACCAATTCTGAGACCCACTAGTAGAGCAGTGGTTCTCAAAATTCGTTATACCTAAGAATCACCTGGGGATCTTGTTAAAATGTAGATTCTGATTCAGTAGATCTGGGGTGGAAAGGAAAATTCTCAGCAGGGGTTTGAACCGGAACAAACCAGTCTGAAGCCCTGTTCCTGAATTCATTACTTTGTGGGAGAGGCAAAAACGCCCGTCAACTTCATTTTCCCAGTTTATTAGGCTAAACATCATAGGCTGAGTATCTCAACCTGAGAGAGGTATGGTGAGCATAAGTGAAATAATGGCTCTCAGCCTGCAGAAGGATTTTGAGGGAAATATAAACTTCTAGAAGGAGCCCTGTTGGCACAGTGGTTAAAGCGCTCGGCTGCTAACTGAAAGATTGGCAGTTCAAACCCACCAGCTGCTCTCCAGGAGAAAGATGTGGCGGTCTGCTTCTGCAAAGATGCCTTGTAAGGCAGTTCTACTCTGTCCTATAGGGTCATTGTGAGTTGGAATCGACTCAACGGCAGTGGAGGTATAAACTTCTAGACCAGTAGTTTTTAAAGCATGGTCCCTGAACCAGCAGCAGCAGCATCACCTGGGAACTTGTTAGAAATGTAAAATTCCAGGCTTCACCCCAGACCTACCAAATCAGAAACTCTGCTGGGTAGGCCCAGCAATCTGTGCCCTCCAGGTAATTCTGATGCATGCTCAAATTTGAGAACCACTGCTGAAGACAAATATGAAAAAAAATAGTTACCAGCCATACACTGAATAGGCACTCAAATATTTAGTCACTTAATTCTCATAACAACTCTACAAAGTAGGTATTGTTACCCCATTTTAAAGATAAGAGAATGGGGGCATAGAGGAGATAAATCACCCGAAGTTACATAGCTAGGATGTGGAACGGGATTTGAACCAAAGCCCACCTGACTCCAAAACTGGTACTTTTCATTATACTGTACTATCTTCCCATAGGCCTCCAAACATGAATGGGCTGAGCAACAGCCTACTGCCCACCCCTAAGTCTTGCCCAGAGAGGCCAACGGTACATATTTCCCCAGAAGGGCTGGGCACACAGACTCTTCCTTTTTCAGGGGCTCAGTAAAGCTGGTCTTTGTTTTTCTCACTTGCTCACACAGTGAGCAGCTATCATCACCCAGTTCTGTCTAATGAGGGTCCCTCCACAGGTGTGATACCAGGAACCTCCAGACAGGTACTGAAGGGAAATCTAGATCAGGAGGGAAGAAGAGAGATAGGTTGGTGTTTTTCAAAAGGCTTTGCCCCAAACTACATTTTACCTCCTTACATTCCTGTCATCTCTCAAAACATTCTCCAACTTTATGGGCTAGGGATGGCAAACAGGCTTCATTTGACCTGCCAATTGCTTGGTTGGTTGGTACCGGCTGACTGGAGTATGGTGTTGAAAAGGGGTGTGTAGTTGCCTCAGCAGGTCAGCAGGAAAGAGTGCTCCATTGTTTGATGATGTGTGCTGTGTACATGGACTGGGGGAGTGAAGACATACACATACCATGTGTTTGGCATCCCTGCTCTAGGTTTTTGCAATAGGCCTAGAACACACATCCTTCTACCTTCATTCCCTCTGGAATGGTGGAGCTAATGAATTACTCTATCACCTAAGCCCCACAAGCTGAGGTCTTCAGAGCTCCCTCTCCAATGTTATCAAGACATTCTGTCCCCCTATTTCAGTACTTAGAAACACCTTTGGAATGTTCAGTTGATCAGCTCACGTCTCCTGCTTCACACCACATGTTACGCAATAGCTCTGCTCCTGAAAATTGGGCCTCAAACTTTTGTAAATTAAATCTAGTTCTAATTGTAGTAGTTCCTCTCAAAGTGTGGCCATTTACCAGTTACACTGACAGTTTTATACATTTATATTTGCTTAAATCAGGGCCCAGCTGCTCTGTTATGAAAGTGAAACCTCTTTAAACAGCCAAATAAACCACATGCTCTACTTGGGAGGTGGCGGGGTGGGGGTGCACGCACATGTGTGACACACTGTATGGAGTGGTGTGTGGTGTGTCGTTGTATGTGGAATCTGAGTTACAGGTCCGGCACACAGTTATGTGAGTGTGGCACAAGTGGTGTCGCTGGGGGTATAACTGTGGTCTGTGTTTGGGTGTGTGCCTGGTAGAGTGAGTGTGGTGAGGTTTAAACTCCCTTCTCTTAGCGTTCTGCATTTAGAGACTACCTAGGCCTGGTCCCATCTGTCTTTATATCTAGAATCCGGGCAGTTGGAGAGCTGCCTGTTCATAAGGCCATACATGAACACACATAACACTGTATGTCCGTGCACAAGCAACTCTTATTTTGGTGGAAGTCTGGGGCTGTGAGGGAACACCTACCTGAGAGGGCCAGGAATTCCTCTGGGCCTCAGTCCCTCCAACTACCCGGATGTTGATTTCCGGAAAGTCCTGGGTGCTGTGTCCTTTGTGGGCAGAGGAAAAGTAAGTGATGATTAAGCATGGAGTGAGCTCAGGGTGGGGTCGGGGAGTAGGAGTTGTGCTTTGAGGAATGTTAGCCTTATCTGCAAATTCACAGCTCCTCTCTAACAAATGAGGGGCCCAGCTGTGCATTCCCTGAGCCTCTTTTGAAAGCAGGGGAGTCTGTGTCTTCTCCTTCTTCCAGGTGTCCCCAGAACTCTGGCATACTATGAAGGACCTGTCTCGCACACCAGGCTAGGACCCCAGAGGCTTCAGCCAGTCTAGGGCTGCTTGTGTTATCAGCCTTGCTCACCCCTTGATCTGAGGACTCCCACCCCCCTGCTTTGGCAGGATTCCCCAAGGAGCAGGGACAGCAGTGCACATCCCAGCCAGGCATGAGGATGTCTTCCTGTCAATGGTGGTGGTGGGGAAGCCCAGGCCCCCAGAAGAGGCTTTTCTTTGCTTCGGGGGTCAGGGACCTGCCACCTGGGGGAGCTGTGTGGCCCTGACCTCTTCTATTATGGACTCCAGGAGAGTAAAGTTTTTGCTAGACTCACAGGCAGACTGTTCCACCCCTTCCTGGGATAAGGAGCAGGCCTGAGCTTGGGGACAGCTTTCTGACCTTCCTGTTCAAATCCCCCTCCCTATAGAACTTGGGCCAGATGACCCACTTACCATAAAGGACCAAGGTGGCGAACACCAGGAAGCACAGCATGTTGCCAAGTTCACTACCCCCTTGCGTGCACCAAGCCCTGTTTATATTCCTCTTATCAGCAGCTTTGCTGACCTTCCTCCTGCCAGCTGGCAGGGCTTCAAGTGGAAGGCAGGGAAAATCACAGGTGACATGGAAATACACATGAAAAGATTTCTTTTCAAGTAAACTCATTTATCTGTTGTTCAAAAACAGAACAAGGTGGATGCAAGGGTAGGATATAAGACGGAAGCATGGTTAGTAAGAGGAAGCCAAGCCAAGAGGAAGTCAGCAACATCTCCCTGTCCAACATCTCCCTGCTCCCAGGATGTAGAAATAGGTGTAAATGCAGGGAGATAAAAGCAGAGTAGATGCAGTGGAGAGAATTCTGGTGAGGGAGGGTACTGAGAGACAGGCTTGGGGAGACTCAGATGGGGAACCAAAGAGAAAGAGCTTCCCAGAGAAGGAGAATGTGGGGGTGGATCAGAGGAGGCAACCCATAGAACAGGGAAGTACTCTGAGGTCTGTGAGGGTGGAGAGCAGAGTTAGCAGGACATGAGGAGCAGGCATGTCCTGCAGGAGATGAAAGGCAAGTAGAGGAGAAAGGAGGGAGGCAGTGTGCTAAGAACACTGAGGTGGGTGGAGTGTTTTGGGTTGGGCATAAAATGCTCAGACATTGTAGGCCCTAGAGCAGAGGACTGTGGATGTAGCAGTGATGGTGGCAAAGCATGGGATTTTGATTTAGACAGGAGGGAGCCAGGAAACCTAGAGGGAGGCAAGAAAATTACCTAAACCACCTAGTGCACCTGGGGACTTCTTTTGCTTAGACACTCTGGAATTCAAGCTCATGCCTGCAGGGGTAGGATAGGCCTGGGAAGGCAGTTCTAAGGAGTACTACAGACTGTCACCTTTTCAGGGCCCTTAAGCTGTGCAGGGGAGTTGCATTTTGCTGCTTAGGTGACTTCAGGGCTCCCTCTTGCCCAAACATGTAGACCTTGGGGAAGAGGGCTGAACTGGGTTAGGGAACCCAGGGCCTCTTTTATCATTTTCCTTCTACTTCCCGGCCTCCTCTGGAGGGAAAGGAGATAGCTCTAGCTACAGGATGAGGAGCCCAAGGGGAGGCTTTAACCAAAACCCGTTGCCGTGGAGTTGATTCTGACTCAGCGACCCTAGAGGACAGAGTAGAACTGCCCCATGGGGTTTCCCAGGGGCGCCCACTGAATTTGAACTGTTAACCTTTTGGTTAGCAGCCGAGCTCTTAACCACTGTGCCACCAGGGCTCCGAGAGGAGGCTCTAGGGCCTCCTAAAGGTTACCCCCGGAGTCCTGGTGGCATACTGGGTAACAGCTCGGCTGCTAATCAAAACGTCAGCAGTTCAAATCCACCAGCCTCTCCTTAGAAACCCTATGGGGCAGTTTTACTGTGTCCTACAGAGTCGCTATGAGTTGGAACCAACTTGGCAGCATCTAACAACAACAACAACAACAAATGTTACCCCTCGGCAGCACATACTCCAAAGTGGTGAGCATCCAAGGACAGGACCAATGTCACATCCATCTCTGCACTGTAGATCTAGCTTGCTCAGGATCTAGCCCAGAGGCGTAATCTGTGTTTGCTTAAAAACCAAACTCTTCAAGCCTTCAGTGAAGGCCCTCACAACCTGGCCCTGATCTACAGAGCTAGCCTCATCTTCCATGCTTAGGGTCAGGCCCATTTTTATTTTCATTCTTAGGATTAGTCATGGGCAGTGGTCTGAGTTTAAATTCTAAAGCAGTGCATTCCTTCTAAGTAATTTCAATTCTAAGAATGCATCCTTTTGAAATACATACAACCACAAAAATAAATGTACAAGGATGTGGGTTATAGTATAGTTTATCATAATACAAAACTGGAAAATAAAAGCAAAGTATTCATCAATAGGAGAAGGTTAAACAAACTTTGGTTTAACCATATTGTGGAATACTATGTAGCTTTTAAAAAGAATGAGTTAGACTTAAATGGACTGACATGAAAAAATGTCCTTGATATATTAAGGGACGAAAGCAAGTTGCAAATAATGTGGTCTCTGTGTGTGGGCATGTATATAGTCATAGAAAAGGGTCTAGAAGGATCTATAAGAAGCTATTAAGAGGGAATAGATAGGTATGAGGGGGCACGAGGATGAATTTCACTTTTTTACCTCGTATTTTTCTGTATTTGACTCCTCTACAGTATGACTTCTGTAATTAAAAATAAATTCTGGGACATTTAACTGTCTTTGGCAATGGCCCCATACCTTTCAAGTGGGAAACTGATCTCTAGAGAAAAGCAGTCCTTCAATGTTCAGTCCTTGCTAGTGTGAGAGGCTTCTGGAGCCAGGAGGCAGGAGCCCATGGCTAGCAGCAAGGTTTTGAGACGTGGGGGGCCCTAGTTAGCTCTGAGAATGGGGAGAGGAGTGGGTTTTAGGAAGAGTGCAGTTACTGAGTTAGTGCAAGGCTAGCCCTGGCTAAGGAGCAGATCATGAAGCTGGTTTCTTGAGCCTTCCCACCGTACCATCAGTGCCCTCTCCATCATCTTGACCACTTCCTTTTCCTAGTCTTCTCCTCAATCTCAAGCTTTAGTCTACTTTCTAGGCGTGGCATGTGGTCTTTCCTCCCTCCTGCTAGTTTCTCACCCCCTGAGAGTTACTCTTAGCCGGCTGCTCCTGGGAGAGGCTATATTATTTTTGGGCAGGAGTGAGGAACCTTGGCTTCACAACAGCGCACCTTGGTTGGGCATATATCATGATAAGATTGGGCTGGGGAGATGTTGGGTGATGCTATAGACAATATGAAGGATAATGGAATAAATGGCAAATTATCAATGCCTGCTAAATGTTTGAGTGGTTAATGCAACAGAGAGCACGGCTAGGATTAGGGTTAGGAACTAGGGCTCCCTATGGGTTACCTGACTTCTTAGCACAGCATTCAAAGTCTTTCTCAAATGAGCCCCAACCCACTCTTCCACAAGACTGACTTACCCAGCAGGCACAGTGCCTAGGCCCCACAGTACTTTTAGGGTCCCATGAAAATGTTTTAATTTCTTTAAAAATTATTAGTGGAGGGGAACAAATATAATCCAGCCTAGATTATATTTGTCTTTATGCTAACGCAGTTGTAAAATGTAATTTGATTTTTTTTTAATGGAGCAAGTGTCCTGTGAAGGCAAAAGTGTTTAGGGCCCATGAAAGTCATAATGCAGCCCTGCTCTTCTTGCTTCTGTACCCGCCACTCCCTCACCCTGATGACCTTTTGATTTTCCAGACTGACTTGTACCTTTTGCCTCTATGGCTTTGCTGATGCTAATCTTTGTTTATTGAGATTTTTCCCATCTGAGGACTCATCCTTTGAGGTCTTAGGTCAGATGTCAGTGTCTTTGTGAGGCCTTCAGTGATTCCCCTAAGAGAAAGGAGCTGTTCCTTTTAACTTACCTAGCATACCTTTGACCATCTCCAGGATTGTCATTTGTTTACATCTTGTTTCCCCAGCTAGAGGTGAGGTCCATGTGGGAAGGGCCCCATCTTACACCTCCCCATACCCATGTCTACACAGTGCTCAACATATAATATGTAGGCTAGATTTGGGGCCAAAGGATGTTCGGCGACAAGAGACAGTGACTGTGACAGAACCTTCCAGAGCTGAATCAACACAGGGGAGGAGGAACTCAACACAAACGTACTTTACTAATGTCATAAAACCTTTATTTCCCGCTGAGATCCCATGTCTAGTTTTCTCTTCCAGGGAAGAACTGTTCTTTCTCCACCGCAGGTCACATGCTGGCCATGCTCTTCTCTCCCTTTGGCTGGGATACACCAGAATGTCTCCTCTATAGGGTCCCGACAGCTCTCAGGGCCCCAGAAGGCCTTCCTCTGTGGTGCGTGGTAACAGAAGGCAGCCGTTGTCTGATGGCACCCTCACGTGGCAATGCTCAAGATGACAGTCTGCCACTGAGTCAAAAGAAACCCTCCTGTATGGAATCTCAGCCCTGTCTAGGCAGCTGGGCTTTCTACTTCAGGCAAAGAAGCCATGTGCAGTGGGGCCCAGATGTGGTCACTGTGGGTTCCAACTTGCTTGGAGAAGAGCTGGCATGCATGTCAGGTCTGTTCCATGTGGGGACTTCATGTGAGTTCACCCAGTCATGCTTGACTCAGCACACTGTCCCTGCTTCCTCAGACTTCCCAGGGCTCTCATTAGTCTGCCTGTTCAGGAGGCCTGGGTTTTAGCTTCAGATCTGCCAATACTTTGCTGTGTGGCCTTGGACAAATTATTTCACCTCTCTGGCTCCGGTTTCATAACATGAAAATTATAAAGTTGGACTAAAACAACGGTTTTCAAATTGTGCCCTACAGACCCTTGGAAGTTCAGGGGCTGGTAGGCATTGAACTTCCCTCCCACTCAATTTCACCCATAGCTATTTTGCCTTTTATCTACTTTATATAGAGTTTTGAAAAAAGGGTTGTGGGACTTAAACTTAACAATTACTGGCTCCATGAGCTTTCTTTCAACACCAACATCCCAAGATTCCCAAATGAGGTCTCTCCCAGCGTGGCTACCTGTCTCCATTGTTCTAGGCTTTATGAAGGCCAGCCAGCTGGAAACAATTAGAAGTAGAGGGAAGAGGGACCAGGAAGACTGACTGCTAGTTATCTAGTGTTCTTGTGGTATGGTGGAAGGAACCCTGGTTCCAAGTTGAAGATCAAGCCTCAATCTCGGATCCACCATCCACTAGCTGTGGGACCGTGGGCAAGCCCCTTTAAGCTCTCTGCCTTAGCTTTCTTATCTGTAAAATGGGCAAGGTGATTCTTAGCCTGGCTTTCTCAAAGGATTATTGTGCAGATGAAGTAAGATAATGGACATTGCTCAGGGTGCTTTCTGTAAATCATAAACTGTTCTACAAACTTTGAGTAAGACCTCCAATCCCTCTGTTAAAAAACCAAACCAAACCAAACCTGTTGCTATCGAGCCGATTCCAACTCATAGCGACCCTATAGGATAGAGTAGAACTGTCCCATAGGGTTGGCTGATGGATTCGAACTGCAGACCTTTTGGTTAGCAGCCAACACTTAACCACTGTGCCACCAGGACTCCAAAAATCCCTCTGTTAGGACACATTATTCATTAGATTCTGTGGGTGCTCTGGGAGACCAGGGATTCGGCACAAGGCTGCTGCAGAGGTAATTTTCTTGAGTTCAGCATTGTTGTCCTGAGCCCTGCCCTAGCTGCCTTGTCTGCTTTGGAAGCCTCTGTTTCTAGGACAGAAGGAAAGTCCTAGACCAAATCCTTCCATCAATGTGGGAGAAAAAAAATGGGCCCAGTGTTTTTGCAAGGAGTAGAAAGTTCCTGCCTTGACATTCATTGGGTTTAGAAATCCATCTTTAAGGCCTACAAAGGCACTGATGATCAGGTTCCCAGACACCAGCAATCCTGTTTCCTGAGAGGCTGTAGAGGCTCCTACTGGGGGTGATCCGGGGGCCTAGATGAAGAGCCAGTGCTGGTGGGGATCACTGGGATTGCAGCGGGCCATGGCTGGCTGCTTATCCTTGGATGTCAGGCAGGTACCAGATCCTGAGTTTCTGATGAGCTGATCCTACAAAAAGACACAGCAAAGGGTCAACCTGGGCCACTGGACCTCTGATACCACTGCTGGTGGGTGGCAAGATGGAGGGCAATAGATAAAGGCAAAGGAAACCCAACAAGGCACAAAGAGGAGGCTTTCAAAGTCCTTTCCTCAGCAGGCACTCTGATGGGATGCATTCCCAAACCCCCACCTGTCATCAGTACCAATTCCCCACCCTCAGCTTTAACCTAAGTGGCTGGCACAGAGGAAGGCAGGAAGGTGAGATAACTGAAAAATGAAAAAGCAAACAAAAAAACCCAACTAATAACTGGAAAATGCTTTCAGCACCCCCTGCCCCCTGCAATGACCAGACTCAAAGACCTGGAGCCACTGTTGTCCCACCCCCGCCTCCCATTTTCTGCCTCTGATCATAATCTCCTCCTCACCCTGTATCCCCAAGGTTAGGCTCCTCTTTACCTAAGCCAGGAGCTGGAGATTGGGGTAGGGTCGGGTGTGGAGGCTCATGGGAGTGCTGGTTTGGGCCCAGTATTGTGGAAGTTATGTTGTATATCCTGAGGCCCTGTGGTGTAATAGGATGAGCTCATGCTTTCAAGGCAGACTCATCCAGGTCTGAATCTGAGGCCTGCTATTTACCAGTGATTGGTCTTGGGCCAGTCACAGATTTGCTGAGCTTCAGTTGTCTCATCTATAGGAATGGGAACACCACCTATCTGGGCAGGGTCTCTGGGAAAGTAGCCAAGCCAATGTGTGTGAGTCACTAGCTCTACACCTGGCACACAGACACAGGTAACAACCATGAGCGACTCTTCACCCTCAGCTACTTGGATTCAGCCTAAAAATTCTTGGGCCATCGCAGAGCTGGCCACGGACCATAATCCCTAACCCATCTTCATGTCATCCACAACAGCCATCCCCTAACGTCACATCAGTTAAGCCCATGAGAGGCCTGCCTGTGACCAAGCCCATACTCTCTAAGCTTTCCACGTTGTCCTGATCCACCCCCATGGTGTCTCAGGCAGAAGATGGAAACAATAAGAAGCGGGACAGTAGTGGCCTCAGCTTCTTGATCTTGAGCTTCCTGGGCAGCTGACTCACCTGGGTTAATTCCCATTCCTCATCTTTGGGGACCTGGCTATTTTTGCCAGTGAAGTGACAGTTCCTAAGGCCCAGAGTGCCATCATTGGCATGTAGACACAGCTGCTTTGCAATGTTGTGGCGAAGGTCCCTCTGGGTTGTGTACTCAAAGTACTGGAAGGCAAGACAAGAGAAGACCTGAGGGGTAGGCAGAGAGTTTGCCCACCACCTTCCAAAGCCATCCATCCTAGGATGCTAACCATGGCATAGCCTCCCAGGGAGGGAAGTGAGCAGGCAAGGCCTTGCCAGACTTTAGTGATTTATGTGCTACCTTTATGATTTTTACCATGTCTGGCTGGTTTACACTGGAATAATAGTAACTTAATATTTTTTCTTTACGTTAATTCAAAATTAAACTTTAACTTAGCCTCACTTTAAGCAACATCTGTGAAATCATGTGTGTGATACACTTGTTCTATTTTTGCTAAGGTTGTTGTTGTTGCTCACTGTCGCTGAGTCAGTCCCTAACTCACGGTGCCCCCGTACACAATGTAACGAAATGCTGCCCAGTCCTGCGCCATCCCCGTGATCAGTTAGAATTGGACCACTGTGATCCACAGGATTTTCAATATGGAAGTTCACACTGTATACTCTGAGGCCGTGTGGTATAACAGGAAGAGCTTGTGCTTTCAAGTCAGACATATCTAGGCCTGAATCCCAGGCCTGCCATTTACTGCCATTTTTGGAAATAGATCACCAGGCCTTTCTTCCTAGTTTATCTTAGTCTGGAAGCTCTGCTGAAACCTGTTCATCATCACAGCAATACACAAGCCTCCACTGACAGACAGGTGGTGGCTGTGCATGAGGTGCATTGGCTGGGAATTCAGCCTAGATCTCCTGCATGGAAGGTAAGAATTTTACCACTGAACCACTAATGCCTCATTTTTTTGCTAATAGATTACGATTAAAATAAAAAATGTTGATCAGTTTACCACCTAAAATCGTCTTGCAGACCAGTGGTTTAAAAAACTGCTTTAAAATTACTTCTTCATGCCACCTGTTCAGTGTCCCATGCCACCTCTTTCTTTGCCTTAGCTCTGTTTCTAACACCTCTTACCAGATGCCAAGCATTCAGGGTAGATTGAAGAACTGGGGACGGGGAGGTTAGTAGTTATCCCTCAGGGAAAGGCTGGGGCATTGTAGGGCAGGGAGTAAATTCTCAAGATGCCAGGTAACTGTGAGATGTCAGCAGGTGGTTGGTATTTGGAGGTCACTGCTGGGGGGTAAGGTTGGAGTGGTAGCTTCTGGGCAAGGGAGGCACTGAAGATAGAAGTTGGGTGTAGGTGAAGGAAAGCCCTCAAAAAATGTCCATACTCAGCGTCTGGCATCACTCAGCAGTTGGCATCATCCATGAAGCCTCTCTGATTACAGCCCTCCTCTCCCAGCCCTCTCTAGTCGGTATTGTCTCTGGATGTTCCTAATTCAGACCCTGTCTGTCTGTGTCATGTATTCCCCCTCAGACTGGGAGCTTCCTAGGGCAGGGCTGATATCTCCTCCTCCTCTCTCAGGATTTCCCCCACTCTAGGCCTCAGGAAAAGACTATTTAGAGTAGAAAGAGGGTCTGTGAGGAGAGGGGATTCCCCAGAGACAGGCTTCTCTCAGACCTGCCCTGGTGTGACTGGGTTACACACCTGGTTGCCGCCGAGGCCGTGGCAGACATACATGATGAGGGGCTTCCCACCATGGTTGTTCTCTCCCACATCCAGGCAGTGATTGGTCCCAAGGCTCTTGATCTGCAAATAGAGTGGTTGGCAGAGAGGGGAACCAGGATAGTACAGTCAGGAGTTTCCTAGTTCGAGATGTGGGGCCCAGCTAGAATATATTTGTATGGCTGGATTTCCCCTCTGTGATTTTTCTCCATTGCTCATCCTCTCTGCTCATTAACCCAGATGCCTGGAATTAATAGCAAAGTGAAGTGCAGAGTTCCAGCTGCTGGGCAAGGGTAGGACCAGACATCCTCTATGGGGCAGGATGGGCAACCTCTCAGGAGGCCAGGTCCCAGGAAGCCCTCAGCACGTGGGAGTTTCATTAAGAGCAGTGATTCTCAAAGTGTGATCCCCAGACAATCAGCATCACCTAGGAACTTGCTAGAAATGCAAATTCTCTGGCTCTGCCCCAGACCTACCCAACCAGAAACTCTGGGGGTGGGGCCCAGCAAAGTTTGGTTTAACAAGTCCTCCAGGTGATTCTGATGCACCATAGGGTTTGAGAATCTGGCTTCTGAGTTGTTTTCCCATTATAAGGCTTTTTAGCTATCTGTAGGAGCCCCAAAGTGGCCTCTCACTCCTCTTCATGGATAAAGGCGTATCAACTCTCATTTGCTATCCATCGGTGGGGTAAGTGGTCCTGAATTTCATCAGGGAGTGATGTGATGGTGGGTAGGCAGGTTAGTTTCAAGACTCACAGCTCCATAGAAGGTGGGCTTCAGGTCAGGGACAAACATCTCTGGGTAGACATTGTGTAGGAACCAGGAAAAGTTGCGACAGTGTAGTTGTTCCTTCAGCTTCAGTCGTTCCGAAATGTCACCAAAGGATTTCTGTCAACCAAGCCAGCCCCCAAAGGGTCAGTACCACTAGCCTTGACCTTTCTATCTGGGTTGAAATAAACCAGACAGCATGAAATTCCTGGGGCCACCTTCCCCCAAATATGTGTCAGGCTTATTCCTGCTCAGGAACTGTTGGAACTATTGACTCAGCCTCAAATCCAATCCCAAACACCTTGCCTTGGCTTTGGGACCCCCATCTATAGCCCCACCCTACACCCTCATCTCTTATGACTCCCCACTGAGTTTTCTTCAAGTCCTTAATTCCAAGTCTCTCAGAGCCATTCCTCCTGTAAGAGGTTCTTCCTCCAAATCTCTCCTTCCTCCCCTTCCCTCCTAAAGGATGCTGGGACACTCCAGAGGGGGACAACAAATGCTCCTCTCCTCATTCTTCATTTTTCAAAATCTTTATGCCTGGGACTTCCCCTCACAGGGCTCAGAGGGATGAAGGGAAGCACCAGATGGTAGAGATGGGGTGGCCTCTGTCATTAGCTCTTGGCCAGCCTCTGGGATTCTGAACTTCTCTTCATCCAACCACCTCCCGAGTACCACCTTTTCTCACCTCTTCAGCCATCTTTGCTGCTTGCAGGTTTCTCCGGTAGAAAATCTCCTTGTAGCCATCCATCCAGACCTCAGCCAGGCGCACTTGGTTGCGGGCAATGACATTGATGCCCTTGGGGAAAGTGTGGGGGCTCTTGGTGCGGAACACGTGGCCTACCACAGAGCAGGGGATAATCTCCAGCTGGCCGCCACACTGCCACACCTGTCACAAAGGAGACGGGGCTGGGGGCCTTCAGGAGTGAGTTGGGAAAATTCTCCCCCCAGGCAGCTCCGTTCTGTTCCCAGGGTGCCAGACCCCAGGTCCTAGGACTCAGGCAACAGCTGCTGTTTCTCCTTGCGAAGAAAGGTATTGACCAGGCCTCTTTCCAGGTCATGACTACGCAGCTCCAGGATCTCGGATGTTGGTTCACTCTGGCTTAAGCAAATGGAGATTTGAAGGGTCCTGAGGGTTAGCAGGGCCCACTCTAGGGAAAAGATAGTTGGTTAACTTTGTACCTGTATACCTACACTGAGCTCTGGCCACTTGACTTTTTGATCTGTAAATGTGATTTTATCAGCTTATCCAGGTGTTACTGGAAACTCAAACTCCTCAAATCAAGATAGATTTGTGACCCAAATCAGAGCATCAATGCATTAATAGTGAGGAAGCTAACTGCCAGGTGGCCTGTGGTAGTCCCCAGGACTTTTAGCACACTAGTGTCCCAGGAGAGAGACTGAATGAAGGTCAGAGGCTCATTGGTGAGCCTAGAATCAGAGCCCTGGGAGTTACAGTGAATGGGCTGGTTTAAGACTGGGAGGTATGTTGTTATTCATTTCTAGTACAGCAGCAACAGAAACACATTGTCATAGTCATAGTAACAGTAGATACCAATTATGTGCTTAATATGTGCCAGGCACTGTAAGAGGTGACTTTATAAATGAGCTCGTTTACTTATTAATTACCTCTCCACTGGCAAGGCAATTTGTGTAGATTTCATGGAGTGGAAATCCTTTCTGACTTGATCCTGATTTGCCTAATTCCTGGAATCCCTCAGAGTTCTGGGATGCACCAGAATCTGGGCCACCGTCTTCTCTCCTACAGTTATGCAGGGCTTGCTAAGCAAAGAGCAACTCCAAGGCCACCAGGGCATGTGTCCTATGACCTGGGCAGGGGAGCTTTATTTTACCAGAAAAAGGATGGTGATTGGAGTCTGACCTGTTTCCACCTTCACCTTCACCCTTTTTCCATAGACATTGTGAAAGATGTCACCAGTTTCTAGACGTCCAGTCCTATTGCCACTATGGCCCCTTCCTTCTGAGAAGTGCTGCCCAGTAATTTGTCCAGTTGTCCAGTCTGACTCCCAAAGAGCCGCTGCCATAGACAGGGACGGGATCAGAGGAAAGGAGGTGCTATGACAAGAAACAGCCACACTTGTAAGCTCGGTTCTAGATGTGACATCCCTGAGGCTGCTGCTGCTCCAGAGATAGGTTCTCAGGTGTCCCCTGGGACACTGTGGTTCCCCCCGCAAGCCCTCTTCACTCTCACCCGAAAGGACATTTCCACGTTCTCCCCTCCCCAGATCTCCATCTGATTATCATAGGTACCGATGTGCTCAAAGTAGGACTTGGAGACGGAGAAGAGGCCACCAGCAAACGTCGGGGATCTGGAGAGACAGAGGGAGAAGCATGTGCATCTTCTAGGGTGAAGAGGAGCAAAGCCTGGCGTGGAACAGCCGTTTGTGGACTCACTTGTAATGCCTCCTACTCTACTTCCCCCTCTATCCCTCTCTCTGGGGATGTGCAGCCCCTCTTCCACTAATTCACTCATTCAAACGTTTTTTGAGCATTTACTATGTCCTCTTCCTCTCCTAAGACCAGGCCAAGAACAGATGTAATTATACTATCTTCTAAAAGGCACCTATTCATTCAACCAACAATATATTAAGCACCAGCTGCTAGGGCCCGTGCTACGTGTTGGACATCCAGGGCTGAGAATGACACAGATCTTGTAGCCCCAGGGAAAGCTGCCATAGTTTGCTTTGTGGTAGCAAATGACCGGAACATAGTAGATACTCAGTTACCAGAAGTTGCTTGAAATTGTTTTTGGAAATGCACAGGATTCAAATCATGAATGAATGAGCAAATGTTATCAGCTGGACTGGCCCTATACTGTTTTAGGGTCCCTGGCCCTTCTGAAATCATTAAAAAATAAAAAACCTGTTGCTGTTGAGTTGATTCTGACTCATGGTGACCCCATGTTTTACAAGGTGGAACTGCTCCATAGGGTTTTCTTGCTGTAATTTTTACAGAAGCAGATTGCCAGGCCTTTCTTCTGGGGTGCAACTGGGTGAGTTGAACTGCCAAACTATTGGTTAGTAGCCCAGTGCAAGCTGTTTACACCACCAAGGGACCTCAAAACCAAACTTGTTGCCATTAAGTTGATTCTAACTCACGGCGACCTATACCAAAAAACCCAAACCCATTGCCATCAGGTCGATTCCGACTTACAGTGACCCTATAGGACAGGGTAGAACTGCCCTGTAGGGTTTCCAAGGAGTGGCTGGTGGATTCGAACTGCCGACCTTTTGGTTAGCTGCTGATCTCTTAACCACTGCACTACCAGGGCTCAATGGTGACACATAAAAAACCCCAAACCCATAGCCGTCGAGTTGATTCCAACTCAGAGACCTTAAAGGACACAATAGAACTGCCCCACAGAGTTTCCAAGGAGCGACTGGTGGATTCGAACTGCCAACCATACAGCCCCCATATTAGTAGGATCCTAGCCCCTGTGCTTAATACTGCATGTGAAACTTTAGCTTTGGGGAAAAGCTGCTAGCTGTTCTGAACCGGGGAAATTGACAAGAGGTATTGCTGGGAATAGGACGATCAGTGAGGTGAGATCAAGCTTAATTTGGGAGGTTACAAAAAGATTCTGGCTTCAGACAAAGGCAGGGAGGCACAGACTCAAGGTAAATTAACAAAAACATCTCATTCCTTGAATTTAGATAGTAGGTTGCTCATAAAAGGAGCTGATCTAAGGGCGAGAATATCTAATTGCACAAGGGCAAGCAGAAAGGAAGGGGGGTAAGCGATCATTGGCTGTTGGCTTCTGTGCCTGGGCCAAGCTGCTTGAATAGGGCTTTGCTGCCACCAGTGGGTGGCTCCATGTGGTACAACTACGCGGGAAGACACTGACTCCTCTGTAAACCTGCAACAGATCAAGGTGCCCTACACAGCAGGGCTCAATCAGTGTTCATCGGACTGATCTGTCTAGGTGACCACCCAGGAGCCTGGCCTTGTGTTGCCCTGAGACTGACCTTGTTGCCTTGAGGTTGACTATATACTGCTCTCTCAGCCACTTTCTGGAATTTAAGCTGGGAAACCCTCATGCTAAGGCTGGCTTCCTGTCATTGGTTCTGGGCTCTCTCATAGGTTCTAAGCCAGCCCAAGTGGGCTCTGGAGAGTCTCAGAATAAGTCCTGGAACCCCAGATGAGCACTTTGGAGCTAACCTGCTTTTTCTCAAGGGTCCCACACACTTGGACCTGTCTCTTGGCTGGTACCTTCAGGCCAGCACCCAGTCAGAAAGTCACTGACAAATTATCTCTCAGGATAAGCCCTGCATGGGGAACATCACAGTTCAACAACCAGTGGGCAACCTCTGGCAAACACTTTGGTATTTCCTGTTCTACTTCCTGGGATCCCCTGGGCCCTCTACCTCTCCTCTTAGCCTCCAGTTAGCTTTGAAAGTGCTGAGGATAGTGTCATGGATTGAATTATGTCCCCCCAAAAATGTGTGTATCAATTTGGCTGGGCCATGATTCCCAGTATTGTGTGAGTTTCCTGTATGTTGTAAATCCTGCCTCTATGATGTTAATGAAGGGGGATGGGCGGCAGCTGTGTTAGTGAGGCAGGACTCAATCTACAAGATTGGATTGTGTCTTGAGACAATCTCTTTTGAGATATAAAAGAGAGAAGTGAGCAGAGAGATAGGGGAACCTCATACCACTAAGAAAGCAGTGCCGGGAGCAGAGCATGTCCTTTGGACCTGGGGTGCCTGATGGAGAAACTCCTAGTCCATGGGAAGATTGATGAGAAGGCCAATAGAGACAGAAAGCCTTCCCCTGGAGCTGACACACTGAATTTGGACTTTCAGCCTACTTTACTGTGAGGAAATAAACTTCTCCTTGTTAAAGCCATCCACTTATGGTATTTCTGTTATAGCAGCAGATGACTAAGACAGATGGGTACTGTCAGCAGGTGCCCTGGTGGGGTTCTATGCAAAGTGCCTTGGGCTAGCCATGCCAGCTACCAGGGCATTTGGACCAGGAAGTAAATTCCTACCTCAAACAATGGAGCTTTGTCTTGCAGCTGTATGGTCCTTGGACATCAGGACCAGCGACATCAGTGATGGGCAGGGGCCAGGTGCCCTGTCCCTGACTGTGCTGCTATGTGCCTGGCCTGGGCTGGGGGGCTTTGTTGCTGTATACACCACAAAAGGCATCTATGAGACAAGCAGAGGGGCAATACCAAACTAAACCAAACCCGTTGTTGTTGAGTTGATTCTGACTCATAGTGACTCTGTAGAGGGGCAATAGGGAGTTCCAATTTCCTTCCTCTCCCTCGCACTTCCCTTTTTCCCTCTCCCCTTCTGCTCCTTCTTCTTCCCCTCCTTGTGGAGACAGCAGCTGGCTCTTCAGGGTCCATGGGAGTCCTCCCTGTGGCACTCACCTGAGTCCTCTCTACTGAGACTCTGGGTAGCATCTGATTCTGGGTATGTGAAGGGGGAGGAACTCCAGCCCTCTCTCCTTTTATAACCTACCTTCTTATCTCCAGCCACTGTATCCCCAACCCACCCTTCCCTCCACCCATAATGTACATTTGGTTTTCCTTAAGTTTCCTGGCCAGTAGAGGAAAACAATGGCACAGATAATCCAAAGCCAAATATTCTAACAGTCACTGCCCAACTCAGTTTGGCAGTGACAACTGTTAAAATAAACCCATGGTCTCTAACAACACCAACAGGCAAGCTGGAGAGGGAGAGGGAGGGTAGGTATATGAGGGGGAGGGAGTTCAGCTGGCCGCTGTGGATATTCACAGTGGATAAACTCTGGAGTAGTCACCATACAGGAGTCCTCCGGTGGCACAAACAATTAAGCGCTTGACTATTAGCCAAAAGGTGACAGTTCGAACCCACCCAGATATACCTTGGAAGAAAGGTCTGGTGATCTGCTTCCAAAAGGTCACAGCCTTGAAAACCCTACGGAATGCAGTTCTACTCTGCACACGTTGGGTCACCATGAGTTGGAGTCGACTTCACAGCTACTAACAACAACATCCACCATATAGAGTAGGGATTGACAAACTACGGCCAAATCTGGCTCTGCAGCCTGTTTTCATAAGGATCTGGAGCTAAGAATGCTTTTTACATTTTTAAAGGGTTGTAAAAAAAGAGAATATGCAACAGACTGTATATGGGCTACAAAGCCTAAAATATTTTCTAGTTGGTCCTTTACAGAAAAAGTTCATAGCAGCTGCAACAAAGTGCAAACTGCAGGGCACTTGTCTATTTCCTTTTAGAACGTTCTGTTTTTTCAAAGATCGTGACCTGGGCACACACGGCACCCCTTCTATCCCAATGGCTATGCAACAATGGCCTCCACCCACCCTCTCTCACCCACTCTGCAAGCACCAGTCATGACCTTCGATGTGTGGGGAAGAATAAATGAGAAAAAATATGTACAGCCCTTAGCCCAGTGCCTGACACACAGTGAGTGTAAGAGCAAGCTGTTATGGCGTGGGGCAGTATAATGCCACAGTTAGGAGAGGGCTTTTGTCTAGGCAGGCCAGGCTAGGTATCCTTGCTACACCATTTTCTAGCTACATGATCTTAGGCCAAATGTTTATTACAGTGAGCCTTGGTGTTCTCATCTGTAAAACAGGCTAATCATAGTACCTATGATAGGGGGTGAGGATTAAATAAAATGTGTCGAGTGCTTGGTAGAACGCTTAATAAATGTTGATGTGAGATGGCCCAGTCCCTGGAACTGGGTAGGATTGGTGCCATGGAGGCCAAGTTGGGGGCTCACCAGGCCGTGGTCCTTACTTGATAGGGTAGGTCTCATCCTTGCGCCTCTGCTTCTCATGTGGAGGGAGAATTTCCCAGCCAAAGGTCAGGCTCCAGTCAAAGTTGCCCCGGCTATGGACTCTGCCCGTCTGGACGGGCTTGGAGAAGTGGAAAGTGTTCAAGTCGATGGTGACGATGTCTGGGCTCACCACTACTGTCTCATCCTCAGCAATGCGAGCCAGGAGGGGCTCCAGCCAGCCATGGAAGCACTCGCCTGCAGGCCCAGATGAGGAGGCTGCAGTCAGGGTCCTGCCCAGAGCCACCCCAGGGAGAAGACCCAGACCAACAGGATACTTCACCCACTACCTGGTTACAGAGAGAGAAACACAGGCAAGCTCCACAGCTGTAGAGAGCTCTCCTGAGACCCCACTCCTAACCCCCAACTTGTCCCAGGTGGAGGCAGCTTTGGAGGGGAGAATGAGGGTCTCAGAACCTCTGCCCATCTCATGGCAAGGACGCCAGTACTCTCAGGGGAGTAAGATGGTACCTCCAATGATCCAGCCTTTTCACTGAACGAGCCCTCTCTACCCAAGTGAGGCTTTCAGAAGGGGGTGTTTCCTCTCCCAGGGGTATTTGCATCTTAAGCTTTAGTTCCAGTTGTCTAGCTGTGAGATTTTCAATGAACTTCTGCAAATATGGCTTTATTTGGTCCTCAGAGTGATAATTCTGCAAGGTCAGTAAGGTCAGTATCCTCATTCTCACTTTATAAAGGAGGAAGCCAAGGCTCAGTCAGTGGAAGAGCCAGAAGGCAAACTCAGGTCTTCATACTCCATACACTGAGCTCCTTCCAATATATGTCACTCCTCTAAGGGTATGTTTTTTCCCTGACAGTGATGGGGAGATGTTTTGGCCTGAGACAGGATGGGAGGCCTTCCTGGCTCTGTGTGGCCCTATAGGAAACTCCCCACAAGCCATTTTCAGTGGTGGTGGGAGGCCTTTCTGAGGACTGAAAGCAGAACAAGGTACAGATGGAGAAGAGGGAGTGTCTGGCGCCCCAAAGCCCACTCCCTGCAATTTTTGGGTCACCAAATGTTTGAGTGCTGTTTGTGCCTCCTGATAAAACACCTTTGGAGTTGGGAATGAGAAATAAGTGAGAAAGGCTAGGATGGGTCCCAAGCCTCCCACACTCTTGGACAGTAAAGCAGGAAGGGGCTTCGGTGATGCTGCCTGTGGTCCCAGCTTTCCGTTTCACCAGGGATGAAGCCAAGGCCCAGAGGGGAGGCCCCAGACTACACCCAGGCCCCTGGCTGTCAGGCAGCACCCTGTTACTCACAGTGGGCATCCAGGAATGTGAGCACCTCTGCCTGTGCCACGCTGGCCCCCAGCAGCCGGGCTGTGATTAACCCTTTCCGCTCCTGCTGCCGCACCACCCTCACGATCTGCAGCTGCTTCACGTACTGATCCAGCTGCTCCTTTAAGTACTCTGCAAACGATAGTGTCATTGTTGCCAGCTCACCACTTTGTTGCAAACCTAATCCCCTTTGGGCACCAAGCCGGTGCTCTTGGGCCTCCAGCAGGCCTGAATTTTAACCCTCCAGCACTTGCTGCACAAAGCAATTCCACAGAAGCTGGAGGTGAGGGGCAGGGGGTGTAAGGAGGAGAAGAATGGGGAGAGGAAGGGGAAGCCCCGCCTGTGGGCAAGCCCACCCTGCCATCCCAACTCCATCTTGCCAAGACAGGGGCTCTGTGGTGCCGGATCCTGGGCCTATTTACCTAGGCCCTTCTGTAATCTCATGACAGGACCTCAGAGTTGTGTTTCTTTGTCCTTAAACATAGTCTTCTGACAAAGGCTCTCGAAAGCCTCTCCTGGTTTCTCCACCCTCTCAGCCACCAGCTTTCAGAGCTGAGATTCTGGCCTCCTCTCCTCTCCACACCTGAAGCTTGTGGTAGCCATTTCTTAGTGTCTAGGACTCCTGGTCTCCCAGACTCTTCAGAGTAAGCTTGACATGTAGAGCACACACACATTCTGATTCCTTGCTTGCTGGATCAGCAGCAGAAAGTCTTATTCTAATCCTTTTTATTACCTCCTCTGTATATGGTATTCTTTAAGAAGATGAAAAGACATCAGAGAGATTTTAATTAAATTAAAAAAAAAAAAAAACCTGTACCAGGTGCCTACCCTGGACCAAGCACAGTGCTACAGATTGGGGGTACAGTGTAAGCCCAGCCCACATGGTCGTTGTCCTAAGGAGCGCACTGTCCAGGGAACAAGGCCGGCCAGGGGTGGGTAACTGCAGGGCAGGTGACCTGCCAGAGGTTGTGCAGGGCTGGCAGAGCCCCCAGGAGGGGCAGCCATCCTGAGTTTCAGGAGGCCAGGGAAAGCCTTTTGAAGGGAGAGGTATTTCTGCTGAGATTGCCAGCTCGTTCTGAGTTGGGGCTTACTTTATGACCCTGTTATTCAGTCTGAAATTATCAGAGCCTTACACATAGCTCTATTCTGAAACAATTCATCATGAAACATATTCTAAATCTTATGTTTTATTAACTGCCAGTTTGGTTTATCTGTGCCACTGTTCTATCCTGACTGCGAGGGATGAAGTTGCCTGTAGTTTCAGAGGTGAAAGGTAGGTGTGTGTGTTTTCCCTTTGCGGCTGTGGCCTTGCACTGAATGCACTTCGGGTCCTGAAATCAATTGATTGGGTTGTGATCACACATACACACACATTATGCCCAAACACTTGAGTACCTACTATGTGCCACCCCTTGAACTAGGTCCTTTCATGTTTACTTTCTTATTTAATCTTCTCTGTGAAGGTTAACTGGAGCCCTGGTAGCACAGTGGTTAAGAGCTACAGCTGCTAACCAAAAAGTCAGCAGTTCAAATCCACCAGCTGCTCCTTGGAAACCCTATGGGACAGTTCTACTCTGTCCTATAGCCTCACTATGAGTCAGAATTGACTTGAAGGTGACGGGTTTGTTTTTTTTGGTTTTTTTATGAAGGTTAACTGAGTCCCTGGGTGGTGCAGATGGTTGATGCGCTTGGCTGCTAACCAAAAAGTTGCAAGTTTGAGTCCACCCAGAGGCTCCTTGGAAGAAAATCCTGGCGATCTACTAAAAAGTCAGCCACTGAAAACCCTATGGTACAGTTCTACTCTGTCATACATGGGGTTGCCATGAGTCAGAGTCGACTCCAGAGCAACTTTTTTTTTAATGAAGGTTAATAACTTTATGAAATGTGGAGTATTTTCCCTAGTTTTTATAGATGGGAAAACTAAGACTCAAAGTGATGAGCCCAGAGTCACAGAAAATGCAAAGGGTAGTGGCAGGATCCTAACCAGCTGTGTCTGAGGATTCTCACCTCCCAACTCCAGGGGCAGTGAGGCCACCAGTGAGGACACAACATGCATGGGTGTCAAGGTGGCCTGTGCAGCCTCCATCAGTCATCCAGGGCCTTAGCCACTTCCCCGTGTGTGAGACCCCAGGAGGGAGGAGGAGAGAAAGGAACTCGGATACTGCTCCTCCTTAGTCTAGCTTTGGTCACTGCCCAGGAGAGGGGAGCCCCAGGGGAAGGAAACTTTCCATAAATGGGAACTTCAGCTCTTTTCTCCTCTCTTAATTCTTCTGAATTGACAGTGTTCTGACACAGTGCCGCCTTATGAAAGGATTCTTTGGACAGTCGTTTGAGAAGGAGCTGTATCTTACTCTAGAAATAGGGCCTCTTGTCTCAGGCATCAGGACTCCATGAGTCAAAATTACCCTCATGTGGCAGCTTCAGCACACCACTTACTCAGCAAACGTCTGCTATAGCCCTGTCCGGGTGCTAGATACTATCCTGGGCAGGGAGCGGCCTGGTCTGGGTCCTGCCCTCAGGGAGCTCCCAGACTCATACTATAGTCGCAAGAGCTAGAAAGGGAAGGGAACCCTGGTCAGGAGCCTCACCTTTTCAGGGTGGCTGATGTTTCCCCTGAGAACTTGCTTAACTGTGCTCACAGGAAGTTCATAGTGGTGGAGATAACTCAGGGACAAAACATCACAGGAAGTGGGTTTTGTAGTAAGAGACTGCAATGCGCTGAGCTGTGAACCTCAGGGGGCCTGAGTTCTACCCAAAGCCGTCTCCCACGCCTTCCTTCCAGTCTCAGGCGGTGAGGATGGACCTTCAGATTCTGAGCCTGACAGGCAGGGCTCCTCTGGGACCCCCCACTCTTAAGGCTGTGTGTTAACTTGGCTGGGCCATGATTCTTAGTGGTTTGGCAGTTATGTAATGATGTAGTCATCCTCCATGATGTGATCTGATGTGATCAGCCAATCAGTTGTAAGGGGAGTTTCCTCGGGGCTGTGGCCTGCATCCAATACATATGGATGTTCTGGCAAAGCTCACTTGCTTGCTCTGGATCCTGCATTCAACTCATTATCACCTGATCTCCAGTTCTTAGGACTCGAGCCAGTGGCCTGTCATCTTAGTTGCTGATCTTAGATTCATCAGCCTTCCCAGCCCATGAACAAGGGGCCTGCTATCTGACTTGCCGATCCTGGATTCATTAGCCCCTGCAGCTACGTGAGTCAGGAGAAGCCTCCATCCTGACGCCTGGCCCATGGACTTGGGACTTGCCAGCCTTTACAACTGTGCGAGCCATTTCCTTGAGATAAATCTCTCTCTATATATATATATACACTTCACTAGTTTTGCTTCTCTAGAGAATCCAGCCTAAGACATGTGGTAGTGACAGTGGTTCTAGAGAAACAAAATCATAAGGATGAGTTTTCTAAATTGGTTCTCAAGTCTGATTAATCTTACAGGCACTGATGACTCTACTTCCAGTAGTAAAGAGGGCGCTGCTAATCCATGGCATGAGGTGGCAATATTAATAAGCAAATTATCACCAACAGATCAAATATTGGTGAGAAGTGAGGCTCTGCGTGATCGCATGTTTAATACTTTTCTATAATTTTATCAGAATAAGAAGTATAGGGAAGCTGGTTGGTTGGCCTACTTTCACTAGACAAAGTGGTGAAAAAAAGGGATGAGCTCAGGGTTTCAGAGTCACAGCTTAAGTGCTGTATAAAAGACCTCAAAGTTGCCATTTGTGCCCTAAAAGAAAGCCTTATTTCTTATAGTAACAGAGCTGATATTGCCAAAAACCAGAGTCTTATTGTAAGAGTGGCTGAATTACAACACCAACCGAATTCCCAACCTCGAATGGTGGCTGAAGTTAAAGTGAGGGCATTGATTGAGAAGAAATGGGATCCTGAAATTTGGAATGGGGACATATGGGTAGATAATCAGGAAGCTGGGGACACTGAGCCCCTAAATTCCATTGAATCACCCTTGCCAACAGAACCAGTCCTCTCCCACCTGAAGAGATTACCACATCTTTGTCAGCTAAGCCACCCTCCCCAGTAAAACCATTATCCCCTCCAACCCCAGCTATGTCTGAAGAGCCTTTGTTTGAGTCATCACATGGGGTGGCATCTGAGTTATTGCCTAGGGCACTGCCCGGGGTAGATATCTTTCAAGACATTGCTGAATGTTCCCAGGACCCACCCCCACCACCCATTTTTGCTTCTAGATCTATAACTAGACTTAAGTCCTAGCGAGCCCCAAAGAGGTGAAGTACAAAGTGTGAACCAGGAGGAGGCACACTACATTCCAAAAGAACTTCTTGACTTTTCTAATATGTAGAAACAGAGACCTGGGGAATATGTGGGGGAATGGCTACTAAGCGTGTGGGATAACAGTTCAAGGAACAAAAAGTTGGATGAGTCTGAGTTTACTGATGTGGGCCCACTAGGCACAGATTCTTCATTAAATGTTTCAGCTCAAGAGGTTAGGAAAGGATCTAATACTTTATTTGGTTGGTTCACTGAAGCATGGATTACACGGTAGCCTACACGAAATCAAGCTGAAGTACCAGACCTGCCTTGGTATACTGTATGTAGAAGGTATCCAAAGGCTTAGGGAAATTGGCATGTTAGAGTGGATTTATGAGGTTAGACCCACAGACCCACACACAGAGCACCCAGAGGACACACCTCTTACCACAACTGTGAGGAACAAATTTGTTAATGGAGCCCCAGCATCCTTGAAGACTGCTGTTATTGCCATTTTATGTAAGTCAGATTTGACAGTGGGAACTACACTAACTGAATTAAGACATGTAACTACAGTGGGGCTGACTGGACCCTGTGGTAGTAGGGGCCAAGTGGCAGCATTCAATTGACAAAGACAAGGTGGGCGTGGTTACGTATTGTACAGCAGGGTCAAAGCAGTAATCAGAATAGTCTGACTCATATGGACTTATGGCATTGGCTACTTAGTCCTGGTGTCTCTAGGAGTGAAATAGATGGGAAATCTACTAAATATTTACTTGATCTGTACAAGCAGAAAAATTCTAGTTCAAGTGAATAGCAGTCTAACTTGAATCACCAGAAGAGAGTCACAGCCGCTCAATCAATTCTCAGACTTGAGTCAATTTACAGACCCAC